TGCTAAAGATGTTTTACAAAAGGATGTTCAGAATATTGCTTCTAAATAGATTTTTGCTAGATGGCAAGCTATTTTATCTGTCTTCGATTTTGATATTGAATTCATAATTGTTCTTTAAATTCTCTACCAGATTTTCTTACAAGGGAATTTTTACAGGGAAAATGCATCTTCCCAACAAACCAACCTGAAGAGACAAAGGCAAAGAAATTGCCAAAATCCCAGAGAAAAAATTAACCAATATCAGGACATGGCTTCAAGTAGTCCAACCTTCTGAACCATCTTTGAATATTACCACTATTTCTAACTTGGTAAAAAAGGAACCTGCTTCTCCATCCACAAATACCCCTTTTGATATCTCTAAAATATATCACGAAGAAGCATTACAACTTTTTCAAAAGGCCTTCAATAACCAACCACAACCTTCAATAGCCATGGTAAGTGCCAATCCTTCTCCCTCTCCTATAGCCAGTCAAAAGGCAATAGGAAAAATAATTCTAAAGGTTCTATGTCTCTGTAATAATAAAAAAACTCAAAGAGTTCTACAAAGGTTTGTATAATATCATATAATACTTCTAAAGTAAGGGTGATTATATATAAAAATCTTACTAAATAAAGAAATGATATATAAATAAAAATTAGTCTAAATAAAAAGATGAGTATTATAGCTTATATAAAGACCATAAGCGACATATAGAATTAGAAGTATAATTACTAAACAAACCATATAGGTGGTAAGGATAAGTAGAAATGAGAAGGGCAAAACGGTAAGAAGAAGTATAAAAGACAGACCAACCATAAGTGGTTCAACCTGCCATTTGTGGGGTATGTAAACTAAATTGTTTTAAAGTAAATTGCAATTAAGTAAAGTTTATTGATATATAAACAGTAGGGAAAAAACCACCAAAAACCCCAAATTTTGTCATCTGTGACACATTTACCCCGAACTTTTTTTTGTGACACCAAAAACCCCGAACTTTGCTTTTTGTGACACATTTACCCCAATGTATTTAGTCCATGGGCATTTTCGTCTTTTCTGCTTTTTCTTTTTTTTTTTTCCTTCCGGCGAGGGGGCCTCGCCGGCGTCGGCCTCGCCGGATTCGGCGAGGGGCCTCGCCGGCGTCGAGCGAGGGCGGCCCTTGCCAGATCCGGCGAGGGCAGCCTCGCCGGCGTCGGGCGAGGTTCGCCCTCGCCTGGGCCAGCGAGGGCGGCCCTCGCCCGACGCCGGCGAGGGCTGACCTCGCTCGAGTCGGGCGAGGGCGGCCCTCGCTCGCCCGGGCGAGGGCGACCCTCGCCGGCGTCGGGCGAGGTTCGCCCTCGCACGGGCGAGCGAGGGCCGCCCTCGCCCGACTCGAGCGAGGTCGACCCTCGCCGGCGTCGGGCGAGGGTCGACCTCGCTTTGAGTCGGGCGAGGCCTCCCGCGCCGGATCCGGCGAGGGCCGCCCTCGCTCGGCGCCGGCGAGGGTTGACCTCGTCGGATCGGGCGAGGCCGCCCTCGCTCGCCCGGGCGAGGCGGACCTCGCCCGGCGCCGGCGAGGGTCGCCCTCGCACGGGCGAGCGAGGCGGCCCTCGCCCGGCTCGAGCGAGGTCGACCCTCGCCCGACGCCGGCGAGGGTCGACCTCGCCGATCGGGCGAGGGCGGCCCTCGCCGGCGTCGAGCGAGGTTCGCCCTCGCCGGGCGAGCGAGGCGTCCTCGCCCGACTCGAGCGAGGTCGACCTCGCCGGCGTCGGGCGAGTCGACCTCGCTGAGTCGGCGAGGGCCGCCCTCGCTCGCCCGGGCGAGGCGACCCTCGCCGGCGTCGGGCGAGGTCCGCCTCGCTGGGCGAGCGAGGGCGGCCTCGCCCGACTCAGCGAGGTCGACCTCGCCGCCGCCGCGAGGTCGACCTCGCTGAGTCGGGCGAGGGACGCCCGCTCGCCCGAGCGAGGGCGAACCTCGCCCGACGCCGGCAAGGACCCCCCCTCGCCGGAAAGGAAAAAAAAAAGAAAAAGCAGAAAAGACGAAAATGCCCATGGACTAAATACATTGGGGTAAATGTGTCACAAAAAGCAAAGTTCGGGGTTTTTTGTGTCACAAAAAAAAGTTCGGAGTAAATGTGTCACAGATGGCAAAGTTTGGGGTTTTTGGTGGTTTTTTCCCTAAACAGTATCGAAAGATTACAATAGTATTGAAAGATTACAAATGCGGATACAAGAGCAAAAGTAAGTAAAACCCTTTGTATTCTCAGATCATGAGTAGGATCTGGAACATAAGGTGATACAGGGATACTATAAAACTTACTGAATATTCAAGAGGTATTGAAAGTTCTTGAGATGTATGACCTCTTATTTCTTCAAAAGAGAATCGAGGTGAAAGATGGAGAGATTAGAGGATTGAAATGAGAGGAGGAGAAATCGTCGGTAGAAAATTCGGTGTTCCCTTCCAATGGATGGAGTGGGATTATATAGGCCAATGGGTTACTGTAGAAAAGTTTCATGGGTAATACTATGGTGTACAGTAAAAGGTGAATAGTGACCTGGGGTGGACAAAATTATGAAAGCATATGGCAAAAGTCAAAAAGCATATGAAAAGTGGACAGAAGCCTTTCGGTGCCTTTGTCTTGTTCCTTCAAAATCTGGATAAAGATTCTGGAAGGTCTTCTTCTTCTTCTTCATCTTTCACTTCTCTCTATGGGATGCCTGGAATGCCATAATAGTCATCTTCATTTGAATTCCCGCTATGGTGAGACTATGAAGAGCTCGAGTTTTCTAGTTGAGAAAGGGCTTGTTTCAGCATTCCTGCTAGTTGTTGGTAAGACTTGGCAGATGTCAATTTTGACAAAACAAACCCTTTGTCATGGAGAAGTAGGGTGACATTATCAGAACTGATCGAGGTGGATCATCTAGAAATTAGCCATTCTGAAATGGCCTGTTCAGTAACTCTATCCCAGAATTTAAAACCATCCCACCATTTAACTTTGAATCTTCTGATTAAAATGGGGATGCTTGTTTCTGTGGCTTTTCTATAATCAAAACTCCAACCAAGTACCCGTGATACTACAAAATAATAGAAAAAGAGCATCAATTTAGAAAAAAATTTCTCATATGGAAGGGGAGTGAATTGGTTGGTAAATATTTCATAACTGGTTTGGATTTTAGGATGAAGGATTTCTTCAATGGGTCCAAAATGGTCCCACCATCTGATAAACCAGCAAGGAACTTGTTGAATATCAAAATTTTCGAAGAAGAATAGCCAAGTATGGGAGTTGTTGGCATTCTTTCTCCAAAATGTATTATACCAAGTTTGTTGGTAATCAAAATAAGAATAAGAGGATCTATAAGGTACGGGTTCAGTCATTTTGGTATCAAATTTCTTCAAGGTTATAGGATCCGGTTTCCATTGGGAATGGTGGATGACCCTGCGGATCCTTGCAGTGGAATAATTTATATGATTATTATCAGAAAAATGTCTGAAAGTGACAGATTTAGTTTTTGCCAAGATTTTCTCATAAAATTCTATTGTTTTATAAGGATCATAAGGAGTGTAATTAAACTTATCAGAAAACATGTTCTTTGCAAATATATTTGGATTTTCATGATAAAATTCATTTTCAACACTACATATATTTTGGAATATTGTTTTTGCAAAGAATTTTGATTTTGGAGGGGTTGCTTGAGTTGGCTGCATAACCACCTCGCTAGAAATTCTTTGCAAAAACAATATATGTGATTATATATATATATATGGACAGAAAAAATCATGGAGGAATTCGTAAGGTTTGCGTCTATATATATGGAAGTCATTACTCCATTTCATTGAAAATTGAAACGTAATTTGCCAATTTAGAATCTACTTCAAAATAAATAAATAAAATTAAGTAATATGGGTCAGTTCGTTGGTCCGGCCAGTTCGATCTAGCTCCTAGGTTGGATCGGACCGATGCACATCCCTAGTCGATGGTCTCTCTCTTTCTTTTTGTAGTTTAAATATGTTTCTTATATACAAATTTTTTAGAAAAATTTAGAAGCTACATAAGATACCATGCCGGAGCCACGTCACCACTTAACGACAACTTAACATTCACATTCTTCTTTTAAAGGAAATAACTTTGAAAAGAAAAGGCTTTAATTTGGGGATCGCATTGGCAAATAATAATAATAATATAATATTGAACAAATTGAAAATTTAGGAACAAGTGGTGCCATCTTGATAGGAAAGTTACTAAACACACGAAAATTACTAGTAATTGTATTAATACGCGGTTAATAACTTTTTCATATAAATATAATGTTGATTATGTCTTGAATTCTGTTTTGAGTATTTAACCCCAATTAAGAAGGAAAAAAACGGAGGTTTAGCGTCGGCTTGGGCCGTGCCCAACACAAATCCTTCACGAGGGGCGGGGGTGTGGTATGGAGCAGAATAAAATAGTGTTTTTCACAAGTTATTAGATTTGAAGCAGAGACAAAAAAGAGTCTTAAGATTTGTCGAGCTACATTTTGTAATCATTGAATTTTCATAGTGGATTTTGCTTCTCTTTTCCCCATGATTTTTCCCACAAGAATTTTTCATGTAAATTTGTGTTTTCTTTTATTCTTTTCAGTTTTTGTTTTGTTACAGTTTCCACATATAGTTAGCAATTTTTACTAACTAGTCTGCTAAGCTGGGAAATTAGGGACTAAGTAGTGATTTTGGATCTCTAGTTTTTGAGCTTGGGGCATGGATCGCCTTCTTTCTTTCTTTTCTTTTCCCTTAACACGGAATCGATTGACTTCCAACGCGAATTAGTTGATCGATTTCTTGTTTTAGAGAAACAATAACATCAAATTCCACCCCCTTCATACAGCATACGTTAGAGAGGTTAGGAACTCAAAGTAACACCCAATTAAGATTAATGGGAAAGTTAGGAAATAAGCATGTTTAACGGCAGATGAATTGGTCACAGAGATCTTTGTGTGAAAAAGAGCTTCCTCGTTTACAATTCCACTTTTAGGTCGTGCGACACGCGAGAGAAATGATCGGATCTAAGAGGAAAGGTAGAGAAACGCCACAAAATTCTCATTCTCAAACCAATCCTCAGACCCACCTCAAAGGCGTGCCCAAAACTAACCACCAAGAACTCACGAAAATGCATCGTGCGTTGCCATGTTTCAGATGTGTGAAGGAGTCCAAGGTCTTATTGGCTCGTGCCCCCACGAAAATGGACGATGCGACGCAGGTTCTTCGAGCTTAGACTTTGAAAAAATGAAGGTGGTGGTGGAGATTTTGACAGGAATCCTGTTCTCCGCCGATGTGCCCGATGACGGTACGGTGGCAGATCTCAAGCAGGAGATCGGGGCCCAGCAGAAGCTCCCTCGCGACCGTCTGATCCTGTTGCTCCGCAACTGTGATCGGAGCGATCCGATCAAGGATGATGAAGACGGGGCTCGTCTCGCTGACGTGGGGATCCAGGACGGCTCCCACATCTACCTCTTCTTCAAGCCCGTCGACCCTGAAGATTCCGATCAACCCCCACCTCCGGCTGTCGCCGGCGATAGCGCTGGTGCTTCTCCAGAGGACCAGACGGTCGTTCATAGTACTCAAACTTGAATTGGTGTCTTTCCTTTTGTCTTTTATATTTTGAAAAATCATCTTCTTTCACAAGCACTGTAGTCGCCTTAGTTTCGGTGTATTAATTTTACAGATTATACGACTAAGTAGGTGCTACAACTAGCATGACATCAGATTCTGCTTTCATTGATCTAACAAGAATGAGGCAAGATTCACACTATCTTTGTTGTTCTAAATTTTATCTCGGGATAACATAAATTCGCTTACAAAACAGCTTGTGTAAATAGAGTGATTAACAAACGTATCGTCCGCGACTTTTCTCATTCGATCAAATTATTACAATGTAACTTTACAATGTGAAGCTTCGATGTCATTAATTTCATCTAAAGATCAAAACCAAGTGAATGGACCCTAAATTAGGAAATTCTATATTAACATTCATTTCAAAAGAGATAAAGCTTTTAAAGAGCATCAATTATACACTCACATTTATGGCGCAAGAAAAACTCACTAAATCCGGCTTTCAGATTTTATTTTCATGCCCATATTTCGCAAATCTTCACTCCATCCCGTGGTCGGGAAAGCGAGTGTTGGAGAAAATTAGGGATTCTCTAACGGTGAGAATGAAACATCTTCTTACGAAGAGTCCTCGAGCTGAAGTGAGAAAATCTCCAATTTACATGGTAGAGCTTTTCTCAATTGATAAGCTTGTTAATTAGATTTCTGAGATTAGTCTGTAAAAGTGATTTGCATGTAAATGTAAAAGAAGTAATTAAACAATAGTTTATGAATGACCCTTAAAAGAAGGGCATTGCTAACATGTAAAAGAAAACAGAAAACCGACGCGTATGCATGCCTACATCAATGCACAAAGAACAACTTATTTTGCCTATTGATACTCCTAGCCAGATAAATACAACCGTTGATTGGATTTTTGTAGACCTCTAAATGATAGGAACTCCTTGGTTGTCGGGGCTCAAAGGGAACCGCGCGTCACGGTGCCTCTGAATACATAGAGCGTCTCGCCGTTCTCCACACCGTGCCAGCGCAGGCTGCAATCGCAGCGCATTAGCCTCTGTTTGTGTATGAAGATATAGTCATCCGCGGGAAGAATCTTGCGGCTCAGCAACATCTGCCTCAAGTCACCCACAGTGCAGGTGTCCTTCATTTCCAAAGGAATTGTGGCTGCATTGAGCAGGCTCGACGAAGTCTGAACCACAATGCCGAGCCTCCTACTAGGAGGCTCATGTCTTTGCCTGCTGATGTTCTTAAGGAAGACCACTATTTCCGAGGACTCCCCAACACCGTACTCGGTCAGAGACCGGAAATCGTCCTCTAATTCTGTCCCGGAGAAGAAGAGTGACATCCTGGGAATTGGCGTGCCCTCCAGGATGTGTATCTTCTCCTTGAGGCTGTGGACCGTCTCGGTCTGATCGACTTGCACGTTGATTTTCCTTGTGGGGAACTTCACGACGACCTGCATTTTGCTATAGCCGTTAGATGGAGGATAATCGGTGGCTTCAATGGTGAGGTGGATTTTGGTGCCTTCGGTGATTATCGGGTAGTCATCCATGTCCAGGCCGTCTACTAATTCCAAGCCATACACGGCTAGAGTTTGTGAGGATATCGGGATACCGAGAAACTGTTCTAGTCTCTGCTTGATTTCTAGGACGGTTTCTTGGCGGGTGATTTCGGTCGGCAGTTCGTGCCCTGACACAACGATGATCACCTTCATTGTGGCAGAGTTTCAGCGACAACCTTTGTTCATTGATAGCCCAGTTGTCTTGGGTCGATGAGAGGGACCGTTCGTTCAGTGTGTGTTATAAACTGAAAACTCATGAGATGAAGAATGACATAAGGAGGGTAGTCTCATGCTAACAGAATGGAAGTCACTTAATGCATGCTCTTAAACATGTAAATTCGACCCTCGCGATATTATAGAACTTCAATTTTGTGCTCCCGGACTTCTGTTCTTCTAATTTAGTTCAATGTACGTCAACCTTAACATGTCAACATAATAAGAACAAAAGATGTCCCTAAATGCACCAGCTCATTATAAAAGGGAAAATTACCAAAACAATTATAAATCTATTGCACTTATGCCAATTCCATTTTAAACCTCTCGATTTAACCAATTTAGTCCTAAACCTTTTGACAATTTACCAATGTAGGCCAAATTAGTCGGAAATCGTTGACGTGGACGCCGGTCGTTCAGCATAAAATGGTCAACTGACGTGGATAAATTTTACAATTTTTTATATTTATATTTATATATATTTTTCATTCTTTCTCCACCGGTCGCCGGGCCTCAACGATGGCTGATGACCGGCGAGAGTCACCTTGCCAGAGGCCAGCAAGGGCCGGCCTTGCCTACTTCGAGCGAGGCTCAGGCGACCTTGCCGACCTCGCCAGTTTCGGGCAAAGCTCGACCTCGCCGAATCGGCCCTCATTGGAGTTGGCGAGGGTGAGCCTTGCTTGAGGCCAAGGAGGGTAACCTTGCCTGAGACCGGTGAGGGCGACCCTCCCTGGTCATCACCTGTGGCTAGTCACCGGCCATCGCTGAGACCCGTCGACCGACGAAGGCAAAAGGAAATAAAAAAAAGAAAGCAAAGAAAAGAAAAGAAAAGAAAAATAAAATAAAAAATTACAAAGTTTGTCCACGTCCACATTGGACGTGTCATGTTGGATGCCTAGCGTCCATATCATCGATTTCCAGTCAAAATTGGCTGGATGGACTACGTTGGCAAAATATTAAAAGGTTTATGACTTAATTATAATGCGTATACATAATCTGGAAATCGGCATCTTGTTGAAGCACAAAAATTTGCACTTCCAAATGTTAGTTTTGTGTTGGTTCAACTCATTTTGGTTGTCTTTTTTTTTTTTTTTTGGTTAAAACATTTTGGTTGTCTTCATACGGCTATAGTGTAAAGAAAATCGAACCTAGGTGTGCATTGCCAACTAACAACATCATAGTTACTGAATAAGGAATTTGTGGCATGTGATGATATCAAATCTAGTGATAAGTCGAGATTATTTTACTTGACAAATCCGCTCTTATGGAACGAGTGTGTGCTTAACCCTGTTAACGAATGCTCTGTTGATCCTCATTGCTTCTAGATTTGACTTTGTTTTGTAGTATTCTGGGCTCCGCTCTACTTTGATTTGCTTTGCTATGAAGTTTATATACTTCTCATGTATTCTTTAGAGCAATGAATATAATTTTCTTTTGAAAAAAAATAAATCTTAACGCGTTGCACACCATATTCTAAAATAGGATCTATCACTCTATTTATCACCACTAACATCATAACAATCTCAACACGCTGGTCATCCCTTCTGCCAATTTTTCTATAAAAATAACATTTTGTAATATATAAAAATTACCCAATTAGTTCTAAATTTAATGTACAGATACTAATTCAATCTTAAACTTTTCAATTTTATCAATTTAGTCTTAAACCTTTGTGCGAAATTCAAATGCAGTGCTTTCAATCAATTTTCGTCCGAAATCGCTACTGGCCGTCCTATGTGTCACATTACTATGTTAGCAATTTCCAGAGAAAATTGAATGGAAGGAGTATATTGGAACTTCGCTCAAAGGTTTATGACTAAATTAACAAAATTAAAAAATTTTGGGAATCGAATTGGTATCCGAGTAATAAGTTTAAGATTGATTTTTGATTTCTAAATTTTTTTAATTATTTTTTGGTCAAATACCGGGATCCATAGTAAAACGTGTGCTTTTCCCAACATATTTAATTTTTGTTTTTAATTCATGAGTGGAGGAGGCCCACCAATACAAAACTAGGTGAATCTTATCCTTATCGTTAAGATCACCGACGGTGGACTTCAAGCGCCGGCGACCGACGGCAATCTCAGAATCCTATCGTAGGTTATTTAACTTCTTACGTTCTCGATTGACCAAAAAGAAAAAAACCTTAAATTCTCCATTGATCGATCGCCAAAATCTCACTGTCTTGCTTTTGCACTTATCCCGATCATTTTGCGAATGTATCCGACCATAAACTCCAGCGAAGCTTCTCGAATGTTCTACGTAGGACATTGGAAAAACCGAGAAACATTAATGGACAGATGTGTCCGCCGTGGAATTCAATCCATCCCGCTAAATCTGGTCGTTCCCGTACAAAACGGTGGCGAAATCTATCGGGATTGAACAATTTCTTGCAAAGCGATCCATGCCCAAGAAGCCAAGAAGCCAACCACGTCGGCAGGCCTTTGCTTGCTTTTCGTTTTCCATTTCGGGTTGTTTTTTGGGCAAACTAAACAGTGATCTTTGCTTTGTCAATCAATGCTAATCCAGATTCTGAACTAAACCCCACCACTTGATCCCCTACTTCATTGCCTTTCGCTGCCACCCACCAGATCAGCGCCCGAGTTCGATGGATGGCCATACCGGATACGCTCGAGAGAGGTCATCCACATCGCCACCACTGTATCAGTTTTGAAGCTCACATGCGGCCACATGGCGCTCCCCCAGAGAAGTGAGGAGCAACGTTGATAAGAACCAAGCCAACACTGGCCCCAAAAGCGTTCCAACTCAACGCACCTCGCATCACGTCGCATGTCTTGGCAAAAGCAAAAAGTGTTCTCTAGGAAGTGATGGATAACCGAAGTCGCCACCTTAGAATGCCTTGAGCATTGGCTATCTCGATTTGCTTCGGTGGAAGTAGCTTCGATCCGGTGTCAGCTAGATGGGTTTGGCGTTTTTTGATCTCGGCTGATCACGCGTTGGACCCGGAGGTGGGGATTCGCCGTGAGGTTCGTTGATTGCTCTGGAGTTTGGAAAGAGTTAGTCCTGTTCTGGTTAGAGCAGGTGGAGGACAAAGGAGGGAATTATCAAGTATGGATCCTGTATGTGACTTCTGTGGTGTAGTGAGGGCTGTGGTGTACTGCAAATCGGACTCGGCCCGCCTTTGTCTGCAGTGCGACGGATGCGTCCACTCTGCTAATTCGCTCTCCCGTCGTCATGCGCGCTCTTTGCTGTGTGACAAGTGCTGTTCGCAGCATGCCACGGTTCGATGTATGGACGAGAAACTGTCGCTGTGTCAAGGCTGTGATTGGAGTGGCAATGGGTGCTCCGGGCCTGGACACCGCCGCCTGGTGCTGAACTGCTACACGGGTTGTCCTACGTTGTCCGAGTTCGCGAGTATATGGTCCTCGGTTCTTGATCCGCCTTGTTCAAGTGATTTGGATGGCAGGTGGGGGCCGCTGAGCGCTCTGCCAATGGATGGCAACGGCATGAGCAACTTGTTGGAGGATAGGGACTGCGAGGGCTCATATGGGACGGCGATGGGCAAGCGAAATGAGTTTGGGCCTTGGATGGGGCCGACTGCATTGTTGACACCTAATGCAAACTATACCCAATTGTGCAAAGATCAAGCACCTTTCACTGCTCAGGAACTTAATTTGCCCAAGGTAATGCTTCTTTTGTCGTCTCTTATTTCATTGAGGAGAGAGTCGATTTGGCTGAAAAGAAGGGGTGCGAGCAAAATATTTACTGCAGAATCTGTTGATGAACATCCAGACTAACCCTTTTATGTGCTCAGTCCAAATTCAAGAAAGTCGATTTAGTCTGAATTGAGTCCCTTATTGCACAAATTTCAGGTGCCCTTTGGTTGTTCCAGTTCCAAAAATCTTGGGTTTCATGGGAGCAGCGATCTTTGCCAGAGTCTCGCCATGGAAAACATCCCCCGTCATGGACTTGGTGATGAGATTTTGGGCTATCAACCTAGTCAAAACAGGTTTCTTTTTGAAGATGGAGATATGGAGTGCCTTTTGATGGAGAAAAATCTGTCTGCTACCGAGTCAAATGGACCTGTTGAGAATGCCATGGAGGTCAGCTAGCATTGATCTACAAATAACATGAAAGATATCACACACCCATTTCTCAAACTAAGCATGACAAGTTCCAGTAGTTGTATTGCATTTTGTCAGTTGCGGATGAAAACTTTCTGCTGAGCTTTCTCCATGTTCTTTTGTTTTCATCTCTGCTTGTTTCCGGTACTCGAGACCAGTACCTTTTGATCTATACTCACAGTCACCTTTACTGTTTCTTCAGGCATCATCCTCGGCACAACAGGACTCGGTATCTTTTCATTCCTCTTACGTGGGCAGTTCAGTTAACGGGGTGCAGTCTATGAAGGGAGGCGCTAATTGCCTGCTTATGAGTCCTGGGTGTAAAAGAAATTTAAATTTTGGATATCCTACTGGCCCGGTTCATTCAAGCATATCGCTATCCTTGTCGAATATCACCGGGGAAAGTAGTGCAGCTGATTACCAAGACTGTGGACTGTCACCGGTATTTCTAACTGGTGAATCGCCATGGGAATCAAACCTAGAGGCTAGTTGTCCGCAGGCAAGAGATAAAGCTAAGATGAGATACAATGAAAAGAAGAAAACAAGAACGTACGTTTCTCAACTCTTAAAACATTAAAAATACGTTCTTTTTATGCTTGAAAATGGGAAATGCACAATCGTAAAAAGCTATCCAATAGCTTCAATAATGGCTGTTCCTTCACACCAATACTAGTACAGATTTTTGGTTTCTAGATGTTAATAGATCTGCACTTCTGTCATCTGCAGGTTTGGAAAACAAATAAGATATGCCTCTCGGAAAGCCAGAGCAGACACGAGAAAACGTGTGAAAGGTAGATTTGTAAAAGCGGGGGAAGCACATGATTATGACCCTCTCGGGACAAGGGACTTCTGATCCGCATCACAAAATTTATCCTTGAAAGACAAGTTCAGACAGAATAAGGTAACGCTCCCGGTCACTATGAAAGACAACTTTTTGACATTCACATTCTAATGATCAATTACTGATGATAACGATGTATTTACATGATTCACATATATACTCTATTTGGATGTCATGACTTGTGCTGTGATTATTCTTGCGTAGATAGTAGATAGTAGGGAAAAAACCACCAAAAATCCCAAACTTTGCCTCCCGTGACACATTTACCCCGAACTTTTTTTTGTGACACCAAAAACCCCAAACTTTGCTATTTGTGACACATTTACCCCAATATACTGTAGCCTAGGGTATTTTAGTCTTTTTTCCCTTTTTCTACTTTTTTTCTTTTTTCCGGCGAGGCTGCCTTCGCCGGCGAGGGCTGCCCTCGCCGGCGTTGGGCGAAGGCAGCCCCCGCCTCGCCGGCGTCGGGCGAAGGACCCTCGCCCGCCCGGGCGAGGGCTGCCCGCCGGCGTCGGGCGAGGGCTTCCCTCGCCCCGCCCGGCGAGGGCGGCCCTCGCGAGATCCGGGAGGGCGACCCTCGCTCGGCGCCGGCGAGGGTCGCCCTCGCTTGGGTGGGGCGAGGGAAGCCCTCGCCCGACGCCGGCGGGCAGCCCTCCCCCGCCCGGGCGAGGGCGACCTTCACCTCGCTGGGCGGGCGAGGGTCCCTCGCCCTCGCCGGAAAAAAAAAAAAAAAAAAAGAAAAAAATAGAAAAAGGGAAAAGACTAAAATACCCTAGGCTACAGTATATTGGGGTAAATGTGTCACAAATAGCAAAGTTTGGGGTTTTTGGTGTCACAAAAAAAAATTCAGGGTAAATGTACCACGGGGGGTAAAGTTTGGGGTTTTTGGTGGTGTTTTCCCTAGATAGTATATGATCGATCCTGCTTTTATGTTAACAGGTGCGAGTGTGTTCTACACAGATCTAATTGCCCTGTCTCGAGTTGGGGGAGGATTCTGCTTCTGCTCTTGACCTAAGGTCACTTTCCTCTTTCACTATTATATGCTGATTTCAGATTGTACATCACGGCCTTAACGGTATCTTCCTCATTACCCAAGCTACTGATCGGGCCGAATAATGCATCTGCTATCTCCAATCGACATAATCTATAGCCTTCTCTTTTTTACAAATTTCATTGCCTTCCATCATTGAATGAGGCAAAGCATATCAGCATTGGCAAGTGCTTCTTCTGATTGGGATTTTTGCGGTTGATGATCAGTAGCTGCAATTCTTACAATTGTAACTCTTGCAATTTATGGACTGTCCCTTCAGGCTGATGCCGTAACTTTCGGATTCTCTTCCATGTTACATTGTCAATCACTGTTCTTGTGCTCTGCAAATGGCAAACTGCGTTCTGTTGAGAGACGCACGCACGAACCAAATCGCGCAGGATCTAATTTCTTCTAATTTAGATATTCACTGGCCTTTCTTTCATCTTCACCACCCTCTTCTAGAGTTGGAGTCCTCTTATAGCTCATCAATGTGCTAGCGGGGGGATTCATGGAGTCCCCATTTTGTGCAGCCTAATGTTGTTGTTGAATACGTAGTTGCATATGTAATAAAGGCTCCAAATCAATAATAACAAGTACTTTATAGTAACTTTTGGTCCGATTTTTTACGATTGATACAGCGAAACATTCCGAGCCTCTTAATAATCTATTCGCCGCTGCCATCTCACATTCTAACTTGTTCATATGTTTACAAAAAGGAAATACAAACCCGGCAAGTGTACCGGTTGAACTCTACAGTCCATCTCAAAATGTCCGCACCCAACTCGGAAACGACGCCAGCGCATCGAGAATAGAAGATGAAGCTAGCAATGTTAGACAAGACCCGAATTCCTACTCCCGAAAACATAAGATGATTCGCAAGGTGTAATGACGTCCGTTCACACGCACGTGCCAATCGCTGCTAAAAAATCATTTTTGGAAGTGAAATGACTTGACGTTATGATTGAGTTTCAAAGCTCTCCGGACAGACAAGGGGGAAATATTAACTTCCAACAGAAACTACAAAAGCCCTGGTGTCAATCTTCCTCAAAAGGGTTGCAAAGAAAGGTGTAATTTTTATTCAGCAACAGTGCAAGAAACACAACAGGCCCATATGAAGTTCCGATCTGGGCTGCTCCAAGAGCCACATAATAGGGGTGAGCATGATAAACTGCCTGAACCGGGACTGGACCGGACCGGACCGGCCGGTTTGGTCCAATTCTCGAGAGTATCGATCTGGTTCCCGGTTCCTAAAAGTGGAACCGATTTCCAGACGGTCCGGTTATCGGTTCTAGGGTGGGAACCGGATTGACAGGACCGGATCGGATCGATAAATATATTTATTTATTTATTTTGCTCAGAAAAATTTATTTATTTATTTTTTAAAATTTTATGACAAAAATAGAAAGCATTTTACCAGTTTACCTTTACGGCAAATGTCCCTGCTGTTTTCCATAAAGAAAAGACACTCCAGTGCTCTTAGATTAAAAAATAGAAATCCTAATCACCGAAGCTCTCCCCAATTCACTCTCGCCCTCACCTCTGAGGCTCTGCCTAAGACATTCTATTAAGAATAACGCTTTTGTCGTATTTCAGCAGGTTATTATTTCATATCCTTAGTTAATAAATAAATAAGTGATTGGTTCCATTGAAGTCGGACCGTACCGATCCGGTCCATGGTTTCAAGACTAACCGGTCCGATTTTAAATCCTAAAAATTGAGAACCGATCCTTCTAGTCTGGTTTCCGATTCTTGGATGGGACCGGACACCGCTCACCCATACCGCAGAACCAGACACAAACATCGCATCGTAGTGTCCGCAGCCAGCGAGAAAACCAACGCAAACGAGACAAACTTGGGTCCGACCCTGCTTAATTTCCTCCGTCCACTGTTCTTTCAAATATCTCCAGATCCACCCAGAACAACTCAAGACTTGCCAAATCCGACGCCGCCGAATCAAGATCCACCCACCGTCGTCAACCTCGGAGCAGAGCGACATGCCATCTTCTTCATCCTCCTGCCCAGTTTTCAAGACCCTTTCGCCGTCGCGCCTCAAGAACCTCCTCCTCGCCCTCGCCCTCTTCTGCATCTTCTACCTCCTCCTCTCCAACTACCGCCGGGCCGCCTTCCTCCTCCAAGATCCCCCCGTCCTCCCCCCGCAAGCCACCCCCGCGACCCCTACCTCCCGCCGCCACCTCCTCTTCGCCGTCGCCTCCTCCTCCCTCTCCTTCCCCCGCCGCCGCACTTACCTCCGCCTCTGGTACTCCCCAAACTCCACCCGCGCCATCGCCTTCCTCGACCGCCTCCCCGATGGCGGCGAACCCGCCCCGGACCTCCCCCCCACCGTAGTCTCCGAGGACACCTCCCGGTTCCCGTACACTTTCCCCGGGGGCCTCCGGTCGGCGATTCGGGTGGCCCGGGTCGTCAAGGAGGCCGTGGACCGGGGCGAACCGGGGGTCCGGTGGTACGTGTTTGGGGACGACGACACGGTGTTCTTCGTGGACAATTTGGTCAGTGTGCTGTCCAAGTATGATCACACCAAGTGGTACTATATTGGGAGCAATTCGGAGAGCTACGAGCAGAATATCAAGCACTCGTTCGACATGGCCTTCGGGGGCGGTGGATTTGCGATAAGTAGGTCACTTGCGGTTGCGTTGGCTCGGGTCCTGGACTCGTGCCTTGTGCGGTACTCGCATTTGTATGGAAGCGATGCCAGGATCTTCTCGTGCTTGGCGGAGTTGGGGGTCGGCTTGACTCATGAGCCCGGGTTCCATCAGGTACCCAAATTTGTTGTCTTTGATGCAATATTTATCTTTATCGAGTTGAATTTGGCAAGCAAATTAATATAGAGCTTGTTATTGTTTATTTGAATTCAGTGTACAGAGTAGTTACTGCAATACCAATCTGAACTGTGAAGTTTAACTTTGGTACAAGAATTTGTTCAATCAAACAATGAAAGGCTCGGTGCTACCATTGGTTTAGATTTCTGATCACCGAATGATGTCTGAATGAGTCGTTAGCGCTCTGGGAAAGTGCTGTTTTTGTAAGTTATAAAGTTCATCATCATAAACATTTAAGTACATTGTAATTGAGGAATCAAAGGCTACTTGATGATGTTTTGAATTCTAGCTGCCCACTGAATTGTGGTGGGGGTCTCAGTTGATTGTTACACGTCATACATGTTGCAAGTTGTGTATTGTGCGATGATCAATGACAATGTACTATCCAAATAATTTTTGTTGACATATCTGAGGTTAGGGGCACGTCAGGCCCGATAGATTCTTGAACAACAATAATGCATTGCAGGTTGATATGCGAGGGAATTTGTTTGGCTTGTTGACTGCTCATCCATTGTCACCGTTGGTGTCCCTTCATCATTTGGATGCGGTGGATCCAATCTTCCCTGACATGAATAGAACCCAAGGTTGGGAGCTTCTTTTTGAAGCTGTAAGTGTTGACCCTGCCAGGGTTTTGCAACAAAGTGTCTGCTATGATCGTACGAATTTGTTGACTATTTCTGTTTCGTGGGGCTATGCTGTCCGGGTTTTTGAGGGCAATGAGCTTCTTCCGGACCTCCTTGCATTGCAGAGAACCTTCACACCGTGGAGAAGGGGTATTAGTGCCGGTTCAAGTCACTATATGTTCAACATGAGGGAATTTCCCAAGGATCCCTGCAAAAGACCTGTTACGTTCTTTTTGCATAGTATTTTATCTGACGAGAATGGTGTCCAGAGCAACTATGAGGGGCAGATCGTCGGGCATTGTATCAGAGGAAACACATTGAAGAATCTAAAAAAGATCACTGTGTTTTCAAGGAAGCTAGAGCATGATATTGAACAGGTAGATCTTTTATGGATTTGGATTCGTTTCATCTGAAAGCTCTCTATATCTGAGACATCCTATTTTGTCTAATTTAACACTAGCAATATCCTAAACGCTTAAATGAATTTTCCTTTTGTATTGAGTTGTGTTGTCTTAACAAGTTATTATTCCCTCTTCTTTTCAGATGAATGCCCTGCGTCGTCAGTGCTGTGACGTTCTACCCATCGTTAATGGATTGATGGTTATCCATATTAGAAAATGCGGTGATAACGAACTTATTTCAATGCATTTATAGTTGGCTTCTGCTGGAGCAATGAAGAGTTCCTCACTGGAAGCTGAAGCAGCTCTCATGACTATCTTGGAGCTGCTAAAGTCAAAATAGTAAACTGTAAGTCTGTTGCTATTTTCAACATAGAGGCAAGTCTTCATGCATTTTGATATTAATTGTTGCTAATAATGGTGAAGATGGTGTGGTTTGCAAAATCATGTTGACGATGGCTTAAGAGTCATCCATCCAGGAAAATTTGAACTCAGTTTGTTATATTCATGTGACAATAATAGACTTTAATAAGATTATGACTTTGTAGACACCCAACAATCGATGCTCTGTCCTACTTCATCTAGGAATGGATGAAGCAATGCTTGTTAAATCCCCTTCATAGATTACTGGCTTCAATTGATTTATTCTTCTCATTGAACATAACTTTCATGTATTATTGACTTATGTGATTAAATAAACACAACTTTCGTGAGATTCCTTCATCTAAAAAATATTAGGAAATATTGGTTTGATCATTTTTATTTCTAGATGAAATAAATATATTGATGAACTCCTTATCTTGGGCTAAAAGTTCTTATATATTGAACTGGTATTCCAAATCTTTGATCAATACATATGCCAAATCCGAGAGGCCAGTGAAGCCTTTTCTTTCATTAGTTAAACACTAAGTGGAGATGGTGAGTGTGTTTAATAACTTTAGTCTGGTGATATCTGCAACTTGTGAAACGAGTAATTATTGGGTTCTTCTCTCTTGCTCTCTCTCCATAATCTACTATTATAGCAAGTGGTTCTTGCTGTGTGCAGGTCAAGAATGAGAAGATTCTTTCTTGTGGAGAGATAGAGTGAAGGTGCTTGAGACATATTAGGCAGCATGTCGCAAGAACTCCCGTTAGTTTAGGTCTTCGAGGTAGATTAGTAGTTTACACAGTGATGTGGCAGACTCTTGTTTGTTATAATACCCATCACTTTGTAAATCGATATCATGGACTGGCCTTTGTATCACTAGCATTACTGTTGGAGGCACTGCCATCCGTGCTTTGTGTTGCTGGGCATTTGGAGCGAATTATCTCTCGCTCGCAGACTGCTGGGCTGGGTTGTAAAGGTGAAAGGCGGGTTGACTCTTCTTGCACAGGCTATTCAAGAGTGATTCGAAGGCGGAAAGCTATTTTGCTCGTTGACTTATGACTTATCTTAAGGAGGAATCGTCTGAAGAGATTGGATGCGAGGTTGCAGTGCAGTAGAGGCATAGCGTTGCTGAGCAATGTAATATAATGGTTTCCAAATTTTGCGAAAGAGCTGATGTTTTTCAATTGATTGAAATAAGTTGCTCTGGAAATTTAGAAGTTGACACGATTGGTGCAATCTATACTAAGTCGATTGTTTTGCTACACATGAATATTCTGGTTTGTGGATATGGCAATGATAAGCTCTCAAATTTGGGGGCATGAATTCCATTCTTGTTGCATCTTCTGTTAGTTATTTGCCTTGTATCTTCTGTTGGTTATTTGCCGTGCATCTTAAAATTTGGAACGAGCTGTTTCTGTTATCTCGTACACTGTTTTTTGCCTTGGATTTTCGATTTTTCCTTTGAGGGTGTATTTCATTAGATAGCCTGTTACTTGGAGAAGATCCTGTACTTTAAATTAATTGATGTGTCAAAACTCAATAAAAGTTGCTTCAGATGCCAGATATACCTGCATTTAGTGTAAGCAATAAATGGCATCTGAAGGTAGGTTTTGACTGAGATCTTTTATCTTAACATATGTAAATTTCTTATGTTTGTAATTACTCTAATGCATCTTTGTTTTTTTAGGTTAATATCACAAAAAACTTCAAACTGGTACATCTGTGATAAATTTATCATAAATTAATTTTTTTACCACAAAAAACGCCAAATTGGTATACTTGCAACAAATTTACTCTTTGTTAAATTGGATTAATATCACAAAAAATCACAAACTAATACACCTGTGATAAACACGGAGGATAAAATTCTAAACTAGTATACCTATCAACTATCACATGTCATCCAACTCAGAAATATGAAGGTAAAATTTAACGGAAATTAACGGACTGTAAAATTATCACATGTGTACAAGTTTGGAGTTTTTTGTGATCAAAAAATTAGTTTGGAATAAATTTATCATATTAATGTTCAAATTTGAGATTTTTAGTGGTGTTAACCCGTTTTTTTATCTCCTAACGTCAATTAGTTGTTTAGTACTAAAATAAAATCCTTATACCGTGAGCAAATGGCTTGATGCGACTGCTTTTGCACGGAGTTGCTGAATCTGGACTCATTCCTCCAATACAAGTGCCTGATTGTCTGGATCTGCACATGTAGATGGCTCTGAAGTTTGGTAAAAGTGCACTTTAAGCAATTGTTTTAGACTTTGGACCCAAACTTGCTGCTTGTTTCAATGCCATAGTATTGTGTGAACCTAATTCTCCATCTTCTCACTCAATTAGACCGTTGACTTGAATCAATCTGGTCTGAAGTTTTAGCAGTCAAAAGGCTCTTTCATCTGTAGATAGAGATTGCCACTCTCTCTCTCTCTCTCTCTCTCTCTCTCTCTCTCTCTCTCTCTCTCTCTCTCTCTCTCCAATCACTGGGAAAGGTGATGTTTTTGGCATCAAGGGGGCGAAGATCAACATTGTTTTGTGTTGTGCTGTTAAAATGCAACCTGTGCAGTCTCCTACCAAAACCCCCTCTTCATCTCGGTTAATTAACCTCATAAAAGTTTTATCTTTGATATTGATTGTTTACTTGTTCGTCTTACTGTTCATACTATCTACTTCCAAGTATTCGTCTCTATACTCGCCCTTGCAAGAGTTATCCACTCCGACGAAGCTCGAACATATTGTGTTCGGCATCTTCACAAGTCAAGATTCGTGGCCTAAGAGCAAGGAGTATGTCAAGCTCTGGTGGAACTCGAGCACTATGCGAGGCTGCGCCTTTCTTGACAGACTGCCTCCAAATGCTGATTCCTACAAGGACACTTCTTCTCTTCCTCCTTTGTGTGTATCCGAAGATACATCGCAATTCCGGTACACTCATGGAGCACAGCATAGGTTTCAGATCCGTATAGCCCGCATGGTCCTAGAAGCTGTGGCCCGTAACCATTCTAACGTTCGATGGTACGTCTTTGGGGACGACAACACCATTTTTATAACAGAGAATTTAGTGAAGACTCTTTCGAAGTACGACCATAGGCTATGGCACTATATCGGGGCTAACTCGGAAAATCTCGAGCAGAACAGAGAATTCGGATATAAGATGGCATTTTTAGGAGCTGGTTTTGCCATAAGTTCACCGCTTGCCAAGGTCTTGGCAATAGTAATCGACTCATGTATAGATCGGTATGCTCATCTCTATGGGGGCGACGCTCGGGTCTTTGCTTGCTTGGCAGAGCTTGGAATTGGGATGATTCATGAGCCAGGTTTCCATCAGGTATTGATTCCTCTATATTCCATTCAAGTAAAAGAGCCCTCTTGCCGATCTTTCTCGACTGCTTTGTTTCATGAATATCACTAAGTAATCATTTAAATCTGCGCTCGAGCTTTACATTACATCTTGTGATGCCCCTAAAAGTAAACTTTGCCTTATATCATGACTAATTACACAGTCATTACAGTTCAACTTTGGTTATCTCGAGTTTCTTGGACAACAATTCTGTCTGCTCATACGCTTTGCAGTTGAGATGCTTATTCATTCTGGAGTATTTTGGCCAACAATGCATGCTTGAGTTCAAAACCGTAATTCGGCACAAAATTAGCATGATATAATGCGATACATGCTGTGATTTGAGATCAGCACCCTCTCTCACAGAAATAAGATTTTCCATATCTGCTACTGGTGAAAAATACCTATGCTCGCAAGCTTTGATTGATCAAGCGTTTTATGTATATTCATGCCTGTCACTTCATTATCTTTTCATTAACTACGTATATGCCATGTATAGTCTCTACCACGATAAATGGAGTTCCATATATATTGAAGTCACACTTAACATTGCTCTTTGGCTATGGTTTTAATACTTGTCCTACTCTTGTTGCTGTCGTCAACTTTGTTGCCGCCGTCAACTTTGTTGCCGCATCATCAAATTAAATGGACCCAGTTCGACATCCGTGGCAATGCGCTTGGTCTACTGACCGCGCATCCAGTGACACCTTTAGTTTCCATCCACAGTCTAGAGCAAATAGACCCACTCTTCCCCGGAATGAACACCCTCCCTGCCCTGCAACATTTCTTCAGAGCAGCAAACACTGACCCACAGAGAGTTCTGCAACAAACGGTTTGCTACGACAGGTGGTTCTCGTGGACCATCTCAGTATCCTGGGGATACGCCATCCAAGTGTTCCCGAACCACGTGTACTTGCCCGATGCGATCAAAGTGGTGGAGACTTTCCGGCATTGGAGAAGGGGAAATCCATTCACGGAAGCGTACGTTTTCAACACTAGGGAACTGCATCCGGATCAGTGCGCCAGACCCACGATCTTCTTTTTCGAGAAGATATCCAAGAGCAAGGGCAGGATTAAGACCACTTACAAGAGATCGTATGTGAATTGTTCGTACGATAGTGGTTCCCCGAGGAAAATTAAGGAGATCAGAGTATACGCACACAAAATGGACCTCACTAAGAAGCAGGTAAGTTTTGATTTTTTACTGAAGTTTGGACTTGGTTTGGAAGTGAGTGACTGAGATTGTATTTGTGTGTCGGACTCAGTTGCAGGCGCCGAGACGGCAATGCTGCAGTGTGTTGCCTTCCTCAAATAACAAAGCGCTGGACGTTGCCATCAGAGAATGCAAAGAAGAAGAGTTGATCTATCTGCACCTTTAGCTGTCTCAGATATGACTAATTTCCTTTCTGCCTCTGCTTCCAAAGTTTGAGCGTCTGTTTTCTGTGTTTCGGATTTGTATTCAATCAAAGGTTTGAATCATAAACTAGTATATACTATATTGACAGGACTGAGTATGAAATTCAATAAAACGAGGGATACATACACTGGAATGGTATAGTACCAAGATTTTGACGGAAATTGGAGATGTCATTGCCTGAATTAAGCTTCAAGTTTTGAATCTTGTCTACAATCATGATCCAAGTGAAATTTGAAGGTTAATATGGGTATGGTTGAATGGAAGAAACATGCCAGAGCTGAAGTATGTATAGCTTTATCAAGTCTGTCTTGCCTCTTTTGATGATTTTAGATCTAGAAGATCATTTATGATGATGCACACGGTAAATTGCCAATTACTATGATATGCGCAACCTGTAACGAGCTTCTGATAGAAATGAACGCGAGTTAAGGTTCGTTTCTTGGAAAACGATACGCCGAGCATCGTATCTCGAGGTTATGTACCTTACTATTGCTAGATGTAAGACTTCGCGTCTTCGCATACAAGTGAACCGAATCAATCGGGAGAACGTCTTGTATAGATTCGGCTCGTATTCCAGACACAAACATCCGGTCACATGGTGAGCATGTGAACATGGATCAGCACACGAGACAAGTTAAACAAACTTCAGCAACAATTTAGGTCAACATGGCAAATGCTCGGCCGTCGGTGGTGGGGGTTGGCGATTTGGGTAGAATCTGCAATTACTTCAAACCTATAAACCATGGATGACCCTCCTGAAGTAGGGACGAGACAAAGGGTTTCGGTCGATTCAACGCTTTCATTCGCATTTCTCTGGAAGCGCAAGATGCGCTCTATAGTACTACTAATTGAAAATTGCTAGCTAACGAAAGGCTCGCGTTTTCCCACCCGCTGGAGACACCACTGCCGCGACGTTATCCCTTACGGATCCCAGCATGCTGTTGCGACTTAAATGTTTTTCAATTATGACGACTAAGTTAAACGTAAAGCCCGCTCTTGATATATTTCTTGCCTCTTTTTTTTTTTTCCTTTTTTTGTTTGATTTTGTCTTCTTCTTCTTTTCTCCCATTTGGGACGAAACCGGCAATCCTCTTTTCCAAAAATATTTTTTGGCAAATAACTAATTGATTACTGTGTTAATGAGTTGCATATATATATTTTTTTTGGTACTAGGAAACCATTATTTGAAAAATAACCCAAGCACAAGTAAGAGTAAAAGAATCACCTATTAGTTTTAATGAACGCATTTGGTTTAACTGGAACTTTAATTTATGTCATTACGCTATAGTTTGGTATTTTAACCACTCAATATAAATAATGTTTTAGGGAGCTTTTCTTTTGAGTTTGCATGATAATATCGGATGTTTATAATTTTTTTATGTATTTAATATGTCATATTGTTGATTATTTCTTTTTAAAACATCTATTAAAACAAAAGTGTAGTGATGACTATCCCATGTATTAACGGTTTAGAGAATTTTTTTCTTTTGAATCTGCATGACAATAATGAATGCTTAGAATTGTTACCGTACTTAACTCTGTCAATTTGTTAATCTTGTTTTAGACGTCCAGTAAAAAATCGTGTAATGATGACATGAGAAATAAATAAAAATTGGACAGTTAGATTCATCGAATAAAATAAAAGTTTAGCAAGTTGAATACGCATACTATAGTGTAATGACATATATTAAATTTTTATTTAAACCAAATGAATTCGTTAAACTAGTAAATGATTCTTCCACTCTAACTTGTGCTTAAGTTATTTTTCGAATAATGGTTTCCTAGTACAAAATAAAAAAAGAAATATGTAACTCATTAACACAATAACTAGTTGGCTATCTACACAAAAATCTATTTTTTTTTTTGGAAAAGAGGATCACCGCCTTTGTCCCAAATGGGGAAAAAAACAACAAAAAGAGAAAAGAAGAATAAAAACAAAACAAAAATTCAAGAAATAAGTTTAAATCAAGAGCGGACCTCATATATGACCTTATTCTTTGCAATTGGAAATGTTTAAGTTGCAACGTCATGCTAAAGTGGGACTCGCAAGTATAATTCCATTCAAAGTGAAGGGTATGTCTCCAAACATAGTTAGGGTGAAAAAGGTGCGAACCCTAATGAAATGATAAAAAATGAAATCACTTCTAGCAAAATTAGAAGAAGTCACAATACAAGATTAGAAGAAGTTGAAATAATCAGCGGCGCCGACGAAGAGGACGCTACAGATGTGCGTTATTACCTAAAATCACCAGCTCTCTAGGATTTTTAAAATTCTGATTTGCTTAGTAACCGTAATTTACCAGTCAGATGGAATGTCATCCTAGGATATGCCCTGCTCAATTAATATTTATATAATTTTATGTGCTAATGTTGCAGATCAACGTTGATCGCTAGCAATAATTAAGAAACCGCAAAAAAAATATAGTTGTTTCTATTAATATACACGTGATTTTCCCTCCACTTATTAGCTTTCTAATGGGCTTTCTAATATGGTTTCCATCCCAATTTATTTCGAGTGTGTGGCCCCGTTCATCAGATTTCTTATGTCGTTTTTATTTGGTTAAAGTATGTTGCATTATTTGCTTGTGAAATTTATATCCCTTTGATATAGATGTGATTTCCTTTTATGTTTTAGTTTAAATTTTTGAATTGAATTTTCTAATGATCTCATTCGAGATGAGTAATTATTGAAAAACATGTCTGGACCGAAAGAGAAAACATGCATTGAGAAATACCCAAGATATAACATCGAATTGTCTTCTAGAAAGATACATGTCAAGAAGAAAACAAATATGTTTGAGGTAGTATTTGCCTAACTAGCCAAAACTTGATGTTTACTTTTCCCCATTTGCCCCATAAGTCTAGCTTATTTGATAGATTTATCCAAAAATTAATTCTATAAAGTGAAGTGCGTTAATAGATAATTTGTAATTTTCTCGGGGGGTAGTTATGCAAAAACAACTAAAACCTTCTCAATCTTATACAAATACTACATAGTGAAAATTTTTAAAAACATAAACATATTATATGATGGTCAATTCAGTCTTAAATCTTTCAATTGTACAAATTTAGTCTCTTTTGATAATTTGTCAATATAGTCATTCCGACCGATTTTTGGAGGAAATCGTTGATGTGAATGCCAATCGTGGCAGTTCTATGTGGCATAGCCAACGCTAATGTAAATGATTTTTAGAGTTTTTTTTTAGTTCTTTTCCATTTTTTTTACTTTTTTTTTCCGTTGGCTCCGGAAGAGGGCCACACTTGCCGCCTTGCCAAACCTTGGAGGGCGGCTCGCCCCGACTCTCACCCCTCGGCGGCCCTCGCCCTCACCAAATTTGGGCAAGGGGTGGTCGGCGAGGGTGACCCTTGCCTACTTGTGGTAGTTGCCAGAACCGCCAACCGGCCACAAGCAAAAAGAAAAAAAAATAGGGAAAAAAGAAAAGACAAATTAGATAAGAAAAGAAAGAAAGAATAAATAAATAATTCGGAAAATTAATGTCCAAGTCAGTGCCATCTATGTCACGTAGGATGGTCGACGTCCACCTCAGCAAGTTTCGAAGGATCATATTAGCAAATCGTCAAAAGATTTAGAACTAAATTAACATAATTGAAAGATTTAGGACTGAATTGACTGTTGTACAATAGGTTTTGGACTTTTTGAACAATTATTCTATACTACATGACCTACCCAAATTATATACAGGTATAGGTACCTTCATCACATTCATGGATTATAAGAATAGGGTTTGTGATTGATAATTAGTATGGTATAAATAGTACCATGTCAGCTTCATCTCATTCATGGATTAAGATTATGAATCGTGTCTCGAATTTGAATCGTGTATGGAATTCAATCTATTCGAAGATATTGATTTGTTCAAAATCTGATGGGTCTCAAAGTTTGACCATGAAGTGAATTTAAATTAGGAAATTTTTGCTCACTTTTCTTTTTTGGCACAAGGGTTTTTTTGAGCTACAAGACAAAATAAGGGGCTCGTCGTTTCCATAAATATATATTTTATTTGGGGGTTAAAAAAAGAGCTTGTCATAGGAAGATATAAAAAGCGAAGGTCTGCTTTTTTGTTTCCTAAGAGAAAAGCACCACTCAAAGGAAAAGAAAAAAAGCTTACAGAGACACTTCTTGGCTGAGCCGTACACGATGATTTGTGTTTTGAGCATTACATCCAATTGAGTTATTTCTTTATAAGCATTGTGGGTTTGAGCTTAATCTAGACGAGAAAAATACTCGAGTATGTGAACAATTATAATTATGACTCTTCGAATATTACTGAATTATTTACTGCTAGCTCTTTTTTCTTTTATGTTCTTTAAATTAATATAGATGTGATTTCATTTTATGTTTTAGTAGTACAACCCAGTAATAGCTCTCCCCGTGAAGTAGGTATCAATACTCGGACCAAACCACGTAAATATCTTATGTTCTTTATCATTCCTTATTTATTTCTCTAGTGATTTCGCTTTGATTTAACTACAAAATCATGTCAATTTCCACTCTAATTTAACAACAACTGGTATTAAAGCTTAGGATCGGGTTTTCTAGATTTTGATTTAGGGCTTTTACTTATCTAATTATTATCTAGAAGTTTATGTTGTTGAAATTATGTCTTAAACAAAAGTAAAAAATTGAGAAGTTTAACGGGAGGAACAACTTTGAGTTATTGAAAGTTAAGATGCGTACGCTATTAACAACCTAAGGTTTCGCCAAGGTATTGGATCACAAAGATGGGTTGTCAATTTTGATAAAAGAGGCTGATAAGGTATAGTTAATGGAGAAAGCAAATCAAATGAGGTATTAATAGAGGTGATCAAGGAGAAGGATGCAGCAGAGTTGTGGGCAAAACTTCAGGCAATGTATGCAACGAAAAGTTCGAACAATTGCTTATATATGTTAAAGAATATATTTTAGTTTAGATACATTGAATGTACGTCTATTAGATCTCTCTTAGATGAGTTTAATAAGCTTATGGTGAATTTAAAGAACATCAATATATCTTAGATGATGAAGAATAGGGCATTATGTTGTTAGTTTCTTTAGTCACTTTACTGATTCACTATTACTGGGCGTATTACTATTATCTCAAAAGAGGTAAAATCTACCTTGTTTTCTAAGGAATGGTAGATGAAGTTGTCATCTAGCACAAGAATAGCATGGGGAATAGTGATACAAGGTAGAGATCACCATCGGGGGTCTAGTAGAAACAGAGGTAAAAGCAGACCAAAATCACGCCATAAAAGTTAATGCGATGTGTGAAGTGCTTTGAGTGTCATGAGGAATGGCACATAAGAAGAGATTGTCTAAAGAGCTGAGAGATAGAGTTGACACGCAAAATACCACAAGTTGTGTGGTGATCGTTGTCGAAAAGAGCACCAGTGATGCAGAGGCCGCCGCACAGCATCCGCGACACCACAGCAAAATGACGTAGTAGAATGGAAGAAGAGAACTTTACTAAAGTAAGCTCGATGCATGCTTTTACATGTAATACTAGGCAAGAAATTTTGAGCCAAAATAGTGAACATGGTATTTTATTTTATTAATCGATATCTATCATCCGCTATCAAGTGGAAGACTCTTGAGGAAGTATGTTGGGGAAACCTATTGATAACTCAGAATTACGAGTATTTAGATGTTCTACATATGCTCATGCGAGTGATGATAAGCTTGATCCGAGGGCGAAGAAGTGCATATTTCCAGGTAATGCACATGGATGAAAGGCTACCGGTTGTGGTGCACTGATCCCAGATCACTCAATTTTCTAATGCAAAGACGTGATCTTCGACGAAAACGCAATACTTCGACACAATATTCACTGAGACACCACTAGTAGAGCAAACAAATTATGGTGTCAGTAGTGAGGTGGAGTTTTAGGTGAAGACTCTGGAGACCTCGAAGGTAATAGATGTTGAAATTGCATATGAGGCCGCAATTCCTGAAGTTGGTGATACTGAATAACCAATAAGGCCACAACATACTATAGTCACAGGTAGAGAGAGAAGGCAAATCAAATCATCAGTACGTTATGGTTGTCTAAATATTTCTTATGCATTGACTGTAGTAGGTGATGAGGTAGAGACATATGAGCTTTCATTTTACTCCAATCCAATGGCTAACACTGAGTTATCATAGTAGCTATGCAATGTAAGTGAAGAGATGGAATAACTCTATCGGAATTAGAGGGAGCTAATTAATGGGTCTACAAATAGAAGGAGGGCATTCTTGGTATCGAGGTAGCGAGATATAAGGTATGACTTGTTACGAAGGGGTCTACATTGCAGGAGGGCATTGACTATAATCATGTGTTCTTTCCTGTAGTAATACATACTTCTATTTGTATATTACTTACATTAGTTGTTGCACATGATTTTGAGCTGGAGCAGCTAAAAGTAAAAACGACGTTTCTTCACGGCGAGTTAGAGGAGTGGATTTACATGAGGCAACTAGAGGGATTTGTTATTCTATGTAAGGAAGATCATTTTTGTTTGTTAAAGAAATTTATTTATCGGTCGAAACAATCTCCTAAACAGTGGTATAAGCGTTTTGATACTTTCATTGCTAGTTAGGACTATTCGAAAAGTCATATTACTTTAGGAGATTGGATAATGAATTTTTGATATATCTGTTATTATATGTTGATAACATATTGATAGTAGTTAAGAATGTATTTGATATTGTTGTGCTGAAAAGGCAGTTGAGTGCTGAGTTTATGATGAAAGATATAAGTTCTACAAAGAAAATTATGGGAATGGAGATTTTGCATAATAGGACTATAGGAGTTTTATGTCTGTCTCAAAAGAAATATATTGAGAATATTGTAGTACGTTTTAACATGTGGTCAGCGAAATCTGTGAGTATACTTTTAGCGAAGCACTTTAAATTTTGCAATAAGTTATTACCGCAGTTTGAGGAGGAAGAGCATATGTCTCGTGTTGCTTATTAAAGTGTAGTGAATAGCATTATGTTTAGGTTTGACAAGCTGAGAGCGTAGTCAGTTATTATATGAAGTGTCCTAGTAAAGCTCATTAGGGAGGCAGTGAAGTTTATCCTTAGATATTTAAAGGGAATAATAGACTTGATATAATATACAGAAGGGATGACAATGACAATGAGACCACTGGTTATATGAATTCAGATCATGCCGGTGACTTGGATGAGTGTAGATTTTTAGTAGGATATGTTTTTACACTAGTAGGTAGTGCAGTGAGTTGTAAAATGTCCTTATAAGATCATATTACCTTGTCTTCGACTGAGTCATTGTACATGGCACTTACTTTTATAGCGAAAGAGGTGATATGGCTAAGGGGTTTGCTTTTGGACTTTGGGGTTAGGACACGAAAGTGTTAATATACATTATGATAACTAGCATATAACTTGATTTATCATGAACGGACGAAGCATATTGACATCAGGTACCATTTCATCCGAGATGTTTTAGTGAATGGTAAATTAATTGTGAAAAAGATTGTTATGATAGAGAACCTTGCGGACATGATGACCAAGTCCGTTCCTTTGGCGAGCTCAATTGGTGTTTGTAGAGATTGAGTGTCAGTTGAGGTGTCGGGAGAGCAGCATGAATGATGAACACTACAACTTGGCTTCAAATATCGAGTTAAGCTGGAAAATTATTAAATTGTGTCTCGAGTTTGAATCGTGTATGGAACCCGATCCATCGAAAGATACGAATTTGTTCAAAATCTGACAGCTCTCTAAGTTTGACCGTGAAGTGAACTTAAATGAGGAAACTTGTTGCTCACTTGTCTTCTTTGAGCACAAGGGTTTTTTTTTTTAATAGTGAAAAGCTTTCCCACTACAAAACAAAATAAGGGCTCATCTCTTCCATAATATATATTATTTGTGGGGTGCTGCTTTTTCATTTCCTAAGAGAAAAGCGCCGCACAGAAGGAAAGAAAAAGAAGCGTACGTTGACACTTCTTGGTTGGCCCAATTCCCTAAAAAATTCCCAACTTTACCCTTTATCCCAATTATATTATAAACTTTTTTTTGTCTTATAAAAAACCTCAAACTTTTACTTTTGTCCCAAATTTACCCAATTCACTTTTCGTCCAATTTTTTAATATTATTTTTTATTTTTTCGAATTTTTTTTATTTTTTCTTTTCTTTTCTTTTTCCTTTCCTTTTTTTTTTGTTTCACCTTCAACCTCTGGCCGGTCGCCGGTCCGGCGCATTGCTCAGCGGGGCGGCGAGTCGGCCCGCCGGCCGCGGCGAGGCTTAGCCCCGCCGGCCGGCGGGTGACCTCGCCAATGGCCGGCGGGGCCGACCTCGCCAATGCCGGCGGGGCCGAGCCTCGCCGTGGTGGCGAGGCTCGGCCCCGCCGGCGGCAGTGAGGCTCGGCCTCGCCGTTCTTTGGGCAAGGCCGACCTCGCCGTTCGGCGGGGCCGACCTCGCCAATAGCCGGCGAGGCTCGGCCTCGCCGGCGGCCGGCGTGGCCGAGTTCTCGCCACATCCGGCAAGGCTCGGCCGCCGGCAGGCGCGAGGTCGGCCTCGCCCGGCAACGACGAGGTTCGGCCTCGGCCGACCTCGCCGTTCTTTGGGCGAGGCCGACCTCGCCGGTTGCGGCGGGCCGAGCCTCGCCCGATCTGGCGAGAACTCGGCCACGCCGGCCGCAGCGAGGCCGACCTCGCCAATGGCCGGCGGGGCCGAGCCTCGCCATGGTGGCGAGGTCGGCCCCGCCGGCAATTGGCGAGGTCGGCCTCGCCCGAAGAACGGCGAGGCCGAGCCTCGCCGGCCACGGCGAGGCTCGGCCTCGCCCAACGCCGGCGGGACCGAGCCTCGCCCCCGCTGGCCCCCGCCTCCGGCGACCGGCCAGAAGGTGAAACAAAAAAAAAAAAGAAAAGGAAAGGAAAAAGAAAAGAAAAGAAAAAATAAAAAAAATTCGAAAAAATAAAAAATAATATTAAAAAATTGGACGAAAAGTGAATTTGGTAGATTTGGGACAAAAGTAAAAGTTTGAGGTTTTTTATAAGACAAAAAAAGTTTGGGATATAATTGGGACAATAGGTAAAGTTGGGAGTTTTTTAGGGAATTTGGCCCTTCTTAGTTGAGCCAACACGGTGATTTGTGTTTTTGAGCATCACATCTATTTGAATTATTTATTAATAAATTATTTACTGCTAGCTTTCTCCGTAGAATACTTACCGATACTCGAATCAGACTACATAAATCTCTAGTGTCCTTAATTGTTCATTGTTTATTTCTCTGGTGATTTCGCATTAATTTAATTCCAAGATTCTATCGGTTTCCGCATTAATTTTACAACATAGTATGTTGATCCATTATCTCATACTTCCAAACTTTAATGATAATAATTCTCAAAGTCACAAATCTATGCGATTCTATAATTACCCAGTTCACGGTCGGTAAGAATCGTAGTTACCACTTAATTTAGCTCTAAACACTCCTAACAATATTTGAAAAAAAACACGAATTAAAACAATAACGTCGAGGATTGAACTTGGTTATAGTTTGCTATGGCATAGTAACAAACGGCCCGATAAAAACGCACGAATCAAATGAGCCAAAGCGGACCTACATCTTTAGGCATAACTTACCCTTCAATTGCATAATGAAGCATCCCACGTCGACTTCATTATACAAGTGTACGGGCAATTTCTTGCGACAATTGGCCTTCTCTCCCAAAAATTTATATGATTATTTAGCGAATTATCTGTAATAGAATATAATACATTTGTTTCTCAAGTGGTCGTAGCCCACATTTTCGGCTAAGTGCTCTGCGAGCTAATCCCACTTGATTTAACCCCCATCTCCTTCAAATTATTTCAACGACGCCAACACTGATTTAACAATGTATCTGCCCGCCAAAAATCGAACATGCCAGCTGCAAAAGAAGAAGTCGCGCCCTCTGAAACTCATTCCCTTTGGTCAAAAACCATGGCAATTTGGCGCCTTCACTGATATCCTCTCAATGCCTATATAAATGCATGCAAACGACACTCTCATCTCATTCTCATCACAGACACAGCACTAAGGTGACAGCACTTCATCTCACAGCACATATTTAAGTAACAATGTCTTCGGCCCGCTTTGTCTTGCTCCCGCTTTGTTCCGCCCTCCTCCTCCGGGCTGCCCTCGGCGCCGACCCGCTCTTCCACTTTTGCTCCACCACCGAGAACTTCACCACAAACAGCCTGTACCAATCCAACCTCGACAAGCTCACCAGCTTCCTCTACACCAAGACCCCTTCCTCAGGCTTCAGCCTCGGCTCCGTCGGCCAGTACCAAGACCAGGTCTATGGCCTCGCGCTGTGCCGAGGCGATGCATCGCCCTCGGTATGCAAGGCCTGCGTGGCCGATGCTGGCACCGAGATCCACCACCTCTGCCCGCGCAACAAGGGGGCGGTAATCTGGTACGACAACTGCATGTTCAAGTACCTCGACTCCGACTTCTTCGGCCAGATCGACAATGTCAACAAGTTCTACATGTGGAACCTGAACGACGTGAGCGACCCTGTGGCGTTCAATGGCAAGGTAAGGGGGATGCTGAACAGGCTGACTAAGGCGGCCTACTCGGTGCCGAGGCTGTACGCGACCGGAGAGAAGGGACTGGGGGGTAAGACGAAGCTGTATGGATTAGTGCAGTGTACGAGGGATCTGTCGCCGGCTGAGTGCAAGCAGTGTCTGGAGGGCGCAATCGGCGAGCTTCCGAGCTGTTGCGACGGGAAGGAAGGTGGGCGAGTGGTTGGCGGGAGCTGCAACTTTAGATACGAGATTTACCCTTTTGTCAATGTTTAAGAGTCCTTAGCTCAAGGACCTAAGTGTGGTTTGATTATACCCTAGCTAGGGTGTTCCTAGCCTAATACATGGTAAATAAAGGGGAAAAGTCCCAATAAAGTTCTAAATATATTGCACTCATATCGATTCAGTCCTAAACTTTTGAACCGTGCCAAAAAATTTCTAAACCATTAGATGTGTTCATCGATATGCTCTGACTAGTTTCTTACACAAATGTTTACATTATGTTTATAATTACATAGCCAGGGCTATGCACAAGTCTATAATTTGTGACTGTCATGACATAAGGGTGATAATATGTGTGTAAAAGAGAATCTGGTCTTTCGCAAGCTGATGCCGACAACGTTTTGGTCTACAAATTACATAGCATCTTCCATCGCAATTTTTCCAATATTATGTCGGTAAAAATGTTTATGGAACGGTTGACGCGGAACTTATTTTTATTATTGTGGAAACATGTTTAGCGTTTGTGACAATTCAATACCATAGGCAAAGAGAATTTCTGGGGTTGTGTCCAAATATTGACATATCTAATCGCGTCAATTTTAAAAATTGTATTACATATGAATGGTGTGTTTACTTTAAAAAGGCCAAAACAAATTGGTTCCATGCAGTAGGAATTCTTTAAATCTTATATAGAGAGTAAGTAAAGTCTAGTACACTCGATCTTGGTGGGCACATGCTCTAATATCACCACGGCGGCCTCGCCGGCCCTTGCCCGGAGGAAGGCGAGGCCCGGCGAGGCCCGCCATGGCCGGTGGCCGGACGCCGGCCATCGGAAATAAGAAGAAAGAAAAGAAAAAAAGAAAAGAAAGGAAAAAAGAAAGAAAAGGAAAAAAAAAAAAAAAGAAATGCCACATCAGCCTCCGGCGAGCCACATCAGCTTGAGAAATTAATAAAAAAATGCCACGTCGGATTTCCGGCGAAGTGGCACTTAAGTGATCGTTTTTCACAACTTTTGGCACTTAAGTGATCCGTTTGAAACTTTTTGCACTAAAGTGAGCTCCGTACACAACTTTTGGCACTTCTGCTGTTCTTCCCCCCGAAGAAGAGAAAGGAGAGAGGGGTGGGGAAATTATTGTTGTGACCTTCCCAGAGGTGAATCGCTAAGGGAAAATCAATGGATTACTAAGCAGGTTCGAACATTTACTCAATAAAGAGATGGTACCGTCGTTAGCGTAAACTCTCTCAAGTTCATACTAATCACAATTTTGAGGTTTTAATTAAATTATTTAGGCATGCAATTCAGTTCGTTTAAGAGTAGCCACTAATCCATTATGAATCGATTAGAAACCCAAATAAATGGTGCGAGAATCACTTTACTTATGCAAACTAAAAATTTAATTGGGGGGGGAGGAGAAGAGAGAGCGAGAGAGAGACCAACGAGGGCTTGGATAGTAATGATAAAGGAAGGGAGTCGTAGGGTGGGCTGACTTGGCGATGGCGAGGCCTTTGATGGCCAGAACGGCGGCTTGGTGAGGCTAACGATGTCGTAGAGAGTGGGCATAGGTGATTGAGAACATTTTACATACACACGAAGAAGAGAAAGGTGCGGTGAAATTGTTATCATGATCTTCTCAGAGGTGAATCACTAAGGGAAAGCTAATAGATTACTAAGCAGGTACAAATATTTACTCAATAAAGAGACAATACGGTCGCCCAGGAAAAATTCACTTATGCATCTATTGAATAATTATCGGGACATATAAATCAATACTGTTGGCCGGCCCGTATGGCTCGGCCGAGCTCCCTAGGATCACCATATTGAGATATTAACGATACGGTAAAAGGATGGATAGAATTTGTGCATCTGATTTGGATTCCATCGTCCTGGATGCAGAAATGACGATGAATCGGTGCCGTAGGTCTTCTCCCCTGTCACCCCCGAAGTCCCGGCGCTATGAGACCGCCTCAGCTAGCTCACGGAAGCCTTATGTGAGTTTGAGAGCGTTTGAGAGAGATTGGAGAGAGTTAGGTGCAGAGGAGGGACCTGCAGCTCTATTTATAGAGTTTCCAGCCAGGCCCTCTCATAACGGGCCGGGCCGAACTCGGCCCACACAAGCCGGGCCCATATCCGACCAATCAAGAAACCTTATATCCAACCTTATTAGACCAGACCCGTAAGCGGGTAATAACAATCTCAATTAATGTAACCCACATTAGGAAAACGTTATATTCTCCCACTTGGGCTATATTAATTGAAATCGTACCTTATGTGCACCTTTATTTGGTCTATGGATAATTCTTAATAGTCAATCCGATCCCATAAAGTTTTAAACACCGAATCATGGCGGTAACTGTATGTAATCATGCAGAGCCTTCCATGGTCACAAGTGTCTTAGACTTTACTGATATGGATTCGATATGGCTGTGTGGCAAACGGATGACACCTCATAAAGAGTAATACCTCATGTATCATCCCCTTTGTCAGTCCTCATTCTCTTTCCTTAAGTGTCACAAAAACCTGATGTGTCACTAGAGAATATCTTTATGGTTCCAATGAGCCTACATATGTCTTATCCTTATTGTTAACATTACTTTATGTGTAATAAGACATATCCTTAAGGCTAATAACTGAATGCCCATAGCCTTTACTCAAGGTTTATACAGTACCTTAAGATTTTCACCTTATATGTGTATTTAACATGATAACAATGCATTCAGAAACACCTTATTGAATGCAAATGAGTTGATACACATCCAAAATGTTACAAAGAGTAACAAAACACAGATGTAAAATTTATTAGAGCATAAATAAAAGCAGCTCCCACTAAACAATAGTATCCCATGATACTCCTAAGCTCATGCTAACGACATGTCGTTCAAAAATACAGGGGCGAAGGCCTTTAGTTAGTGGATCTGCTACCATATCATCTGTGGAAATGTGCTCTACTGTAATGTCACCATCCCTGACTTTTTCCTTTATAGTCAAGTACTTGACTTCCATATGTTTAGACCCCTTGAGACCTCTGTTGTGTTAACAAACAACACTGCAGAGTTATTGTCACAATACAACTGTATGGGCCGATCCACAAAATCAAAAACGGTCAACACCCTAATGAGGTTCCGGAGCCAAATTGCCTAAGTAGCGGTCGAAAAGCATACTACAAACTCCGCTTGCATGGTAGAGGATGTCATTGATTTCTGTTTCTCACTTTTCCATGATACTGCACCTTCTGCTAACTTAAAGACGTAACCCGTTGTCGACTTTTTTTCATCCTGACAGCCAGCAAAGTCTGAATCCAAATACCCTACCAGCTGTAGGTCTTGAACATGTTTGTAGATCAGCATATAGTCTTTTGTCCTCTTTAAGTACCTCAAAACCTTCTTGGCAGCAACCCAGTGATCGTATCCTGGATTTGACTGATATCTACCTAGAAGTCCTGCTGCAAAAGCAATGTCTGGTCTAGTGCAAACTTGAGCATACATGATACTTCCAAGTGCACTAGCATAAGGTATATCCTTCATTTGGGTTTTCTCAACATCTCTATGAGGACACTGTGACAGACTCAGTTTATCACCCTTTACGACAGGAGCAATTCCTGGCCTGCAGTGCTGCATACTGAATCTTTCTAGAATACGATCAACATATGTCCTCTGAGATAAACCCAATACTCGGCGAGAACGATCCCTATGGATCTCAATGCCTAGGACAAAAGACGCCTCATCAAGGTCCTTCATGTCAAAATTCTTCGACAACATTCGCTTTGTCTCATGTAGTAAATCAATATCACTACTTGCAAGCAATATGTCATCTACATAGAGTATGAGAAAAATAAATTTCCTCCCACTGACCTTGCTGTATATACACTGATCCAACCTGTTCTCAACAAAACCGAATGAAGTGACAACACTATGAAACTTCAAATACCATTGTCTAGAAGCTTGTTTGAGGCCATAAATAGACTTCTTCAATCTACACACAAGCTCACCCGAATCATTAGCTGCAAAACCTTCGGGTTGCACCATATAGACTTCCTCATCAAGGTCTCTATTCAGAAAGGCAGTCTTAACATCCATCTAGTGTAACTCCATGTCAAAATGAGCTACTAATGCCATAATCACTCTGAAAGAATCTTTAGAAGAGACTGGAGAAAAAGTTGCCTCATAGTCTACTCATTCTTTATGAGTGAAACATTTGGTTACCAGTCTGGCTTTGAACTTCTCAATCTTTCCTTTGGAGTCTCTTTTAGTCTTGTATACCCATTTGCAACCGATGGGCTTGTAATCTTTAGGCAACTCAACAAGCTCCCAAACACCATTATATTTCATAGATTGTATCTCGTCTTTCATTGCATCCACCCACATATCTGATTGAGGACAAGAAATAGCATTTGAATGAGTTACTGGATCAACCACGCAGTCTATATCGTAGTCATGCTCTCCCAGATAGACCATATAATCTGGTGGTATAGCCGATCGTCTCTGCCTGATAGATCTCTTTAGTGGAGCTATTACAACCTCATCCTACACCTGAGGGGCTTGAAGTACTTCATCAGGAGCTATTTCAATAACAGAATCCTGGACCACAACAGGCTCAGTCTGTGGTGTAGGGGTCTCCATTATCATCTGTACAGGTAAAGAGAAAGATATATTAGTACCTACCATATCATTATCCTCAATAGTCTGAGAGCAACTACCTCCTTCGGCCACATCAAATTTCAGAAACTTCGCTGTCTGTGATTCCACAATTCTTGTGCCTCCATGGGGATTATAAAACCGATACCCCTTCGAATGATCTGGGTAAGATACGAAGTAACATCGAGTGGTTCTGGATTCCAACTTGCTCAATGTTGGATTGTATAACCTTACTTCTGTAGGACACCCCCAAACTTTAAGATGATTTAGGCTAGGTTTACGTCCAGTCCATAATTCAAAATGAGTCTTTGGAACAGCCTTGGTAGGAACACGATTTAGAATGTAGAGAGCTGTTCTCAAGGCTTCACCCCATAGAAAATCAGGTAAGTTCGTCCTGCTAATCATACTCCTCATCATGTCCATAAGGGTGCGATTCCGCCTTTCGGCCACACCGTTTTGTTCAGGACTCTTGGGCATGGTAAATTGAGCCACTATTCCAGAATCCTCCAAGTATTTGGTAAATGGCCCTTTCAGCTGTCCAGCATCGCCATGCCTGCCATAATATTCACCACCTCGATAAGATCTGACAACTTTTATGACTTTTCCAAGCTGTTTCTCGACTTCAGTCCAAAAAATCTTGAACTTGTCAAGAGACTCAGACTTCTCTTTAATCAAGAACAGATAACCATATCGAGAATAGTCGTCTGTAAATGTGATGAAATAGAAATTTTTACACAATGTTGCCGTATAGGGTCCACTGATGTCAGTATGAATGACCTAATGACCTCCAACAGGTCAGAACTACGGACTGCGGTTTTCTTCTTTATCTTGGTCATCTTACCCCTACAACAGTCTACGCAAGTATCTAGGTCACTTTCAAGAGTAGACAGGATGTTTGTCTTTATTAGCCTTTCCACTCTTTCCTTAGAAATGTGACCAAGTCGTTTATGCCACAATGCATAAGACTGTTCCTTAGGTAGAGGTCTTTTGGAAACAACCCTTTCAGCTGTATAAGCGACGTATATATCATGGGGAGATAAATACAATCTGTACAATCCATTCGATATGTTGCAGCACCCAACCTTATTTGAATCAAAGAACATAAAAACCACATTGTTCTTTATTTCAAAAGAGTAGCCACAAACATCCAAACTTGATACGGAAACTAAGTTCCGTCTGAAGGAAGGTACATAAAAAGGTGTTTCTTAACATCATATTAAAACCAGAATCCAAAATTAATATGACATCTCCCACGAACTTGACGTCGACTCTCTTGTTGTTTCCTACAGAATTCATCCTGATTTGGCTTCCTTCTGTTTGTGAATCCCTGTATGGTATACGCAACATGATTAGTTGCACCGCTATCTAGCCACCAAGAACTGGATAGGGCTTCTAATAGGTTGGATTCATAAACAAGTGCCAAAGAATCAATACCTGACTGCTCACGCTTGGACAACCAAGTTTTATATCTATTGCAGTCTTTCTTCATGTGACCCTTCCTCCTACAAAAGTAGCAGTGAACACCATTCTTCTTCAAAGGTGTTTTCTCAGGACCCAGATTGTCTAAATGACCGGTGGTTTCAGGAGTTCCTTTCTGAGTACGATTCTTGAACTTACTACTCTTCCTGCTACTGGAACTAGAGGCATAGAAAGCAAGATTCCCTTTATCTTTCTTCAGTTTCTCTTCCTCTGCCACTACCTGACTATCAGGTCATTGACCGACCACTTTTCATTTTGGGAATTATAGTTGGTCTTTACAATTCCATACTCAACAGGAAGTGTGTTCAGGGCTTGATGCACAATGAAAGCATCAAAAAGGATAATCTCATGAACCTTTAGTTTCGTCTGCTGGTCTACCATCCTAAGGACGTAATCCCTAACCCCACTTGAACCATCATACCTCATATTACTGAGTAACTACATGTATGTCCCAGCCTCAGCATTAGACGAGTCACGGTTCCTTGCTTGCAAGGTTTCCATCATTTCTTTAGCAGTGCAGTCAGCTGGTAAACTACTCTTCAAATGGTCCTTAATGGATCGCTTCATCAGTAACAAGCAAATCCTATTGCTCTTTGCCCAGGCGGCACTCAGTGCTTTTTCCATATCCGTACTATCAGCAGTGACATCTGCTGGCTTATCCTCAGTGAGAGCAATATGAATATCTACCAGTTCCATACCAAATAGAAAATCCTCTTTCCATTTCTTAAAGTTTGAACCAGTAAGAACCTCAATACTTATGGAGTTGTCGTTTATGGAGAAGGTGACTGTTAAAAAACAAGCAATGTCTATAATCAGCATCATGTGAGTACTTTCCTGAGAGTTACACACGTCATCATATAATCACCTTTGGGCAGAATACATGACATGCAATTGTATACCCTCTACATGACAACGGCCACGAGAATGTATTCCAATCTTTTATGAATTCACCACCTTTGGGTGTATGAACCACTAGGATCAGTCATTCCTCACGCATGTTGTACATGCATCCCTCCATGAACCAATACATAATCACCTCCTTTGGGAGTATGACAACACATTAGAACAGGAGACATCCTAACAATACGAGATTGATATTTCTCAAACTCAATCAAATGTGCCACTTTGGCGGTCACTACCAAATTGAATCATTGAAACTCTCTCATATTAAGGCATAAACTTTATGTCTCACATATACTATATAGATGTAATTTTAGACTGGAAGACATGGGTAATGTCTCTAAAATTACATACCATGCTAATTACATTGCTCTATACATTGATATATGTTGAACCTTATACATACTATCAATGAAACATGATCTACACGTCCTTATGTCATCATATACATGTAAGCTTTAATATGTATCTCTTAAACCATAGAGAAATACAGGAAAATACGAAAATATACCCTAAAAATACGCGTATATAGGGTTTCATATGTATTTTCACATCCTTAAAAGTATCAAACATGTAAAATAAATATACCATCGTGTAGATAATCCTTATACGAGCACGCCGGTACCTTGCACGCTCCAATCGGAGCTCGGACGCGCCCTCACGCGCCTCCTGAAGGTGCGGCGCGTCGGCTCCTAAGCCGGCCAAAAAGGCCGGTTCGACCGATCTGACCGCTTACCGGTCCGACCGGTTGACCGGTTCGGTTAACGGGTCGGGTTCGGGTCGGGTCAACGGGTCGGACCCTGGGTCGGGTCAACGGGTCGGACCTGGGTCGGGTCAATGGGTCGGGTCCGGAGTTGGGTCGGGTCAGCCGGATCTACCCGGCTTGAGGAAAACCTAGCGCGTGGCCGCGCGTGTGCCGCCGGGGCTCTCCGACGCCCCGGCGCGTGGCGACACGTGCAGCCGGAGGCCGGCGACCACTCATTTTACTCGTCTCGCGACGATCTATCCATCTATGTGATTTATTCTAACATTCAACGGATGAAAAAAAATAAAAACACATACGAACAGTACCGGCCCGTTTCTCGACTATGGCAGCTCTGATACCACATGTTGGCCGGCCCGTATGGCTCAGCCGAGTGCCCTAGGATCACCATAGCGAGATATTAACGGTACGGTAAAAAGATGGATAGAATTTGTGCATCTGATTTGGATTCCATCGTCCTGGATGCGGAAATGACGATGAACTGGTGCCGTAGGTCTTCTCCCCTGTCACCCCCGAAGTCCCGGCGCTATGAGACCGCCTCAGCTAGCTCACGGAAGCCTTAGATGAGTTTGAGAGCGTTTGAGAGAGATTGGAGAGAGTTCGGTGCAGAGGAGGGATCTGCAGCTCTATTTATAGAGTTTCCAGCCAGGCCCTCTTATAATGGGCCGAGCCGAACTCGACCCACACAAGCCGAGCCCATATCCGACCAATCAAGAAACCTTATATCCAACCTTATTAGACCAGACCCGTAAGCGGGTAATAACAATCTCAATTAATGTAACCCACATTAGGAAAACGTTACAAATACACCCAGAGGTAGTCTCGAGAAAATCCAGCCAAGAAAATGAACATAGTCACCACTACCCAGCAACCTTCAGCTGTCTCATAATTAATCAAGTATAGAATGTCGCAGAATACAGATTTTTAACTTGATGACTTTGTACAGATATTCACTACATCTAATCGTATTTGGGTTCAAAATGTACTAAAGCGCAAAATTTTAATTTACGACATTTTTTCCGTCGAAACTAAAAAGTAAACTATCTTAAAAAGATTTTTGTCCTTTTTACGATGTTATATTGTTTAGTTGTAATCAAGTGTAAATGGGCTTATTTTATGGAGAAAATTATCCAAAAAGTCCAAAACCTATTGTATAAAGGCCAGTTTAGTTCTAAACCTTTCAATTGTGTCAATCCAGTACTAAACCTTTTGACGAGTTATCAATTTTGTCCTAAACTTGTCAATTATGTCAATTTAGTCTTGAACTTTTTAACAATTTGTCCATATGGTCCTTCTGGCCAAATATCCAAATAATAGATTTATGATTAAATTGACAAATCTTCAAAATATTTAAGACTAAATTGACAAAATTGAATGATTTAGGATTGAATTGGCCATCGTACGATAGGTTTAGAACATTTTGAACAATTATCCCTTCTTTTATGTGCTCTACAATACTTTATGATGACTAATGGTGTTTTCACCATAAGCAAGGGGAAAACGTAGTAAAATATAAGATCCTATAATTTATGGTGTCATGACATTTCATAATATATAAAGTATTAATTCTTTTAATTGAATGAGGCCGCGCTGATTTTCATAACTATACTACAATGTCATAAAACAAAAACAAATAGATTCTATAGTACAATAAAAATCCCATTCTATAATTTCAAAAACTCTTCCAGTTGCCCACTCTTTGAAAAAGTTTCTTGTGGTCATAATTGCACCCATCTTCGTTGAATTGAGGACGAGACACGCAGCTTCGGTTGATTCAACAAGTTATCGAGTCGCATGTCTTTACAAGCGCAAGATACTCTCTACACGAGAGAACTACTCTATTCAACCGGGAAAATGATACAAATAGTTTACATACGAGGTCGTTTGAAATTCGAAATCATTTGAGTATTTCATAACCACGTGATTTGTTTTACTATGCCAGAGGTGGAATGGATAATTCTTCGTAGCGTAAATAACTGGCCGGGTCACAACGAAGATCAGAAGAAGTTTGAGATGGTCAGCGACGCTGACGAAGAGGACACTAGATACGTGCGTGATTACCTAAAATCACCAACTCTCTAGAATTTTTAAAATTCTGATTTGCCCAGTAAACGCAATTACCAGTCAAATGGGTTGTTTATCTGCTATTATCTTTGGGGATGTTGTCCTGGGTCATGCTCTGATGAATCAATCATCACTAAAATTATAAATTTGTTACATTATTTTATGTGCTAATGTTGGAAGCCATTGCATTTAGCAATAATAGGTAATCACACAAGAAATATATTCATTTCTCTTAAAATATCACGGATCACTTGTTTTCGTGGTTTATATGCTCTTAATATACATGCGGATCTTCCTCCATTTATGCGCTTAAACTTTTGGTTGGACTCTGTAATATGGTTTTAGATTCAGGTTTTGTCCCAATTCATATTGTGTGTGCGGCTCCTAGTTCATCAAATTGTTCGCGTCGTAAATTCGACTTGTGTGTGAGAGGGGCTTTAAAGTATCCAATATCATTTGCTTACGGGATTCATATGCTTGTTTTATAAGTATGTGGTCTATATTCACCTATCAGTTTAAACTTTTGGATTGTACTATGCATCAATTTCCCGTAATACAAATCCGTTTGCGCACACGGTGAAGGGACTTCTAGACTTGAGTAATTATCGAAAAATATGTCTGGACCCACAGAGAAAAAATGCATTGAAATATATGCAAGATGTGACCTCGTAATGCCTTCGAGAATCATACATGTGAAGAAGAACACAAATACGTACGAGGTAGTATTTGCTAACTAGTCAAACCTCGATGTTTAGTCACTTTACTTTTCACCATTTGCCCCAGAAGTCTAGCTTATTTGATAGACTTATCCAAAGATTGATTCTAGAAAGTGGAGACCCCTACGGAACAATTTGTAATTTTCTCTCGGGATATTTCTGCAAAATCAACTAAACTTTTTCAAATTAATACAAATATTACATGCACCTATACAAATTATACTGGTATAACTATAGGTACCTTCATCTCATTCATGGTTTATAAGGATAAGGTTCGCGATTGAATAATCAGTATGGTATAGTCAGTATCCTTTCTTTCGCGTTGTAATAGATTCTTATCATATTTCGCCAATTTCATTAACCGTTTTTCCCCAACGCCAGTTTCTAAATTTTGCATGTAGAGATGATCTCTTTTCCCCTCTTGCTGTATGAAATGAACCTATTTCTAATTTTTCGTTGTTATAGTAACCTTGCGGTAGTATATAAAGTTGATAAGAAAAAGGAAGTAAGATACATGATTTCCAGTCAAATTTAAGTTGTTACTTCAAATGCTAGTTGAACACAATCGGAAACACAGATTGTGCAACACATCAATGCAGCTAAAGCAAATTATATTTCAGGTTAGTAGAACAAGAAAAGAAGCACTTGGTCTGCTAATCCATTATCTCATACCTACAAATTTTAATGATAACAACTCTCAAGGGCCACAGACTTGTGTGATTCTATAATTACACGATCTGATCAGATAAAAATCGTCACAGTCGACAAAGGACGGCATTAGCCATTAATGACCCGTCGACACTCCTAACCACGTTAAAAAACCACTTCAAATGGTAATTTTAATTTAACTTTGTCATAATTTGTTATGGCATAGTATTTGGTAAACCAATCTTGACACCGGTAATGCTACTATTCCTACCTATAGTATGATGCTGATTGCCTCGTCAAATTTTGTTTCTTTGCATATGATACTTATTTCAGAGCTCAAGTTGTTGTCTCGAAAACATCTTTCTGCATAATTTACCCTTTTAATGCATAGCGAAGCCTCCCACATCAACTTAATTATACAAGCGCGAGAACAATTTCTTGCGAAAACCGGCCTTCTCTCCCCATAATCACTCCCATGCGGAAGAATTTTTCGCGAATTATCTTTGGTTGAATACAATACGATAGTTTCTCAAGTTGTCGTTGCCCGCATTTTCCGCGAAGTTCTCTGCGAGCTAATCCAACTAAAAATCGAACATGCGAAGCTGCAAAGGAAAAAACCGCGCCCTTTGAAACTTCTTCCCTTTGGTCCAAAACCATGACAATTTCAAGCCTTCGCTGATCTCCTCTCAATGCCTACATAATATGCACGCAAATAACATTCTCATCACAAA